CCCCCTCCGCCCCCGGCCCCGCTCTCACCATCGCGGCCCCGCGCGCGCGCGCCGCACGCCCCGCCCCCTTCCGCCGCGGCGGGGCGGCCGCGCCCCCCTCCTCCCGGACACGCCCCCCCGCCCCCGAGGCCACGCCCCCCCCGATGCCACGCCCCCCCCCGAGGCCACGCCCCCCCGCCGGCGCGGAGGCGGCCGGAAGGAAGTGACTCACCCGCCCCCGCGCCGGGGCAAAGGTCAAGGGGCGGGGCCGAGGGGGACACACGCGTGGGGAGGCAAGGGGGGGGGTGTCCCCCGTGACCCCCCGTGACCCCCCGTGACCCCGCAGACACATGGGGGGGGGGGGGGAGTGTCCCGTGTCCCCCCGTCCCCACACGTGTCCCCACGCCACCCACGTTATCCCCACCGTCCCCGTGTCACCCCGTGTCACCCCGTGTCACCCCGTGTCATCCCGTGTCCCCGTCCATGTCCTGTGTCCCGTGTCCAAACACACCCGTGTCCCCGTGTCCCGTGTCCCCACACCCCACATGCCAATGTCCCCACAGTCCCGTGTCCCCGTGTCCCTGTGTCCCGTGTCCCCCCCATGTCCCCACGCCCCCATGTCCCGTGTCTGTGTCCCGTGTCCAAATACACCCGTGTCCTCGTGTCCCACTGTCCCCACGGCCCTGTGTCCCGTGTCCCCGTGTCCCCCGTGTCCCATGTCCAAACACACCCGTGTCCCCAAGTCCCCGTGTCCATGCCCCATGTCCCCATGTCCCATGTTCCAATGTCCCCACACCCCCGTGTCCCGTGTCCATGTCCCGTGTCCCCCCCGTGTCCCGTGTCCAAACACACCCGTGTCCTCGTGTCCCCGTGTGCCCATGTCCCCACGGCCCTGTGTCCCGTGTCCCCGTGTCCCCCCATGTCCCGTGTCCCCCCGTGTCCCATGTCCAAACACACCCGTGGCCCCAAGTCCCCGTGTCCACGTCCTGTGTCCCCGTGTCCCCGTGTCCGATCGCACCCGTGTCTCCGTGCCCCAATGTCCACCCCTGTCCCCACGCCCCCGTGTCCCGTGTCCGTGTCCCGTGTCCCCCGTGTCCCGTGTCCCCTCCCAGGCCACCCACGCTGGGCCGGGGCCGGGTGGGGACCGGGCAGACCGGCCCCACGGCCCCGTGACGACACCGGGTCCCCGTCACCGGCCCCGTGGGATTTAAGGGCGGCCCCGGGGCCCCCACGGGCACCGACGGGACCCAGTGGTGAGTGGGGACGGGGGGGGACGGGGGGGGGGGCACAGGGGGGACATGGGGGGGGACATGGGGGGGGACAGGGGGAGGACGGGGGGGACGGGGGGGGACGGGGGGGACATGGGGGGGGACGGGGGGGACGGGGGGGGACGGGGGGGGGACAGGGGCGCTGGGGACATGGGGGGACATGGGGGGGCAAGGGGGGGGACATGGGGGGGGGACATGGGGAGGGGACATGGGGGGAGGGACATGGGGGGGGACAGGGGATGTGGGGATGGGGGGCACGGGGATTGGGGGACAGGGGGATGGGGGGGGGACAGGGGGAGGGGGACAAGGGACACGGGAAATGGGGAGGGGGGGGGCTGGGCTGTGTCCCCTGTCCCCCCCCCCCCCACTGATCCCCCCCCCGTCCCCCCCCCAGGCAGGATGTGTGCGGGCGCCCAGTGTCTGATGAACCTGCTGCGCTGGGCCTGGGGGGTCCTGAGGGGCCTCTGGGGGGGGCCCGGCGGTGAGGGGGGGGCCGGGGCTGGGACACGGGTGGGGGGGGGCACCCAGGAGCTGGGTGGGGTTGGGGGGGGGGAGGAATTTTGGGGGGGGGGGGGGACGGGACATGGCGGGGGGGTGGATGGGACACACACAACTTGGTCCTGGGGGGGACATGGGGGGGGGGAGGTGGGACCGGGGGGGGGGCACACAGGAGTCGGGGGGGGTGTGGGGAATTATGGGGGGGGGACATGGGAGGGGGGGCACCCAGGAGCCGGGGGGGGTGGAAATTGGGGGGGACATGGAGGGAGGGGGACAGGCGTTTTGGGGGGGACACACACACAGACACACAACTTGGTCCTGGGGGGGGACATGGGGACACACACACACACACACAGACACGGGGGGGGGGGGGTCCCAGCGGGGGGGGGCGGTGGGGGGGGACACCTGGGTCCCAATTTCCAGCCCTTGGGGGGGGTGGGGGGTGTCGAGGCCAAGGGGATGGTTTGGGGTCAAAGGTCACCGCTTAACCCCCCCCCCCCTTGTCCGTCCCCCCCCCCCGCAGCGAGCACCCCCCCCCCCGCCGGCCGAGAGGACGACGCTGGTGCCGGGCAAAGAGGACTGAGCCCCCCCCCCGAGCCCCCCAACACCCCCAAATCCCCCCCAACCCCCCCCCCCGGGTGAATAAACGCCCTTGAACCCCGCGGCCGTTTCTGCCTCTTTTATTTTTTTTGGGGGGGGGGTCACGGGCACCTGCTGCACCCCCCCGGCCCCGCCCCCCCGGGTCAGGCCCCGCCCCCCGCAGAGACCCCGCCCACTCGCGGGTTTTACACCCACGGACACCAAAAAGGCCCCGGACAAGGTTTTTCCAGGCAAGAAATCCGCCCCCCCCCATCGCCCCCCCCCCCCCCCCCCCCCCCCCCCGGGCCGCCGCACAGCGCCGCTCTGCAGGATTTTTATTAAATGTAAAAAATACCTAAATCCAAACCCAAAACCGAGGCAAAACCAGGAGAAGAAACGGGGATCTTGGGCCCCCCCCCCCCCCGTCGCTTCCACGGGGCGGGGGGGCGGGACAAAAATCCCACCCGGGACGGGCCCGCGAGGCGGCACCTGCTGGAGGAGGGGAATGTGACTCAATTCGACCTTTTATCGGCCCAGAAACGGCCCCCTCCCCCCCCCCCCAAAAAATTAAAAAAAAAAAGTTAAATTAAAAAAATTTTAAAATAAAAAAAAATTAAACCCTAAAAAATTAAAATGCAAAATAAAAATGAATTTAATTTTTTAAAAATTAAAAAACTAAAATTAAATTGAAAACAATTTAAAACCCCAAAAACTTAAATTAAAATTTTAAATTAATGAACTTTAAAAATTATCGCAAAATCAAATTTTAAAATAAAAAATTTAAACGATTCTTTTCAAAGGTTAAAAGTTTTAAATTGAAAAACTTAAAATGAAATCAATAGAATTAAAAATGGAAAAATTTCTGAAGCTAAAATGAAAGCAAACTTTCAAAAATTAAAATAAAAATCAAAAAACTTTAAAAACTAAAAAGAAAGTCAATTTCAAAATAATTTAAACAAGTTTTAAAGTCCTTAAAATTAAAAAACTTTAAAAATTAAAAAGCTCATATAAAAATGAAAAATTTAAACAATTTTTCAAGTGTTATAATTTAAAACTAAAAAAATTTTTTAAAAAGCGCCAATTTCAGAATAAAATATTTAAACAATTTTTAAGGTCCTTAAATTTAAAATTAAAAAACTTTAAAAATTAAAAAGCCAATTTAAAAGTAAAAAATTTAAAGAATTTTCCAAGTCCTTAAATTTAAAAAACTTTAAAAATTAAAAAGCCAATTTAAAAAAAAAATTAAAGCACTTTCAGTTTTAAAATTTGAAAACTTTAATAATTAAAATTTAAGAATGTAAACAATTTTTAAAGTTCTACACATGTAAATTAAAACCCCTCAGAAGTGAAAAAGGAAAACGAATTTTAAAATTTTCAAACCAAAAATTCCCAAAATTTTTAAAAATTCAAAAAACACCCCGAATTTTTATTTCTTGGTTTTGCGGTTTTTTTAGAAACTTAGGCCCCCAACGCAATGAAAAGCCGAGGTGGGGGCCGCGCCCCCCCCCCCCTCCGCCCCCCCCCCTCCCCGCGCCGCTCCCTGAGGTTGCTCCTCAGACCTTCCCCCCCCCCCCCCCCCCCCCCGGAAGGTCTGGCGGAAGCAAGATGGCGCCGCCCCCCCCCCCCCCGCCCCCCCCTAGTGCACGTGCATCTTGAGGTGCCGCCGCAGGGAGCCGGGGGTCCGGTACCCGCTGCCGCACTGGGGGCAGCGAAACGGGGGCTGGGCCGCCCGTGGGGAGCCCCTGGTGCCGCCCCACCCCCACTGGGGGGGCCCCTCCCCCCCCGGCACCCCCCACTGGGAGGCGGTGGGGAAGCCCGCCCCACGCTGGGGACACGGGTGGGGCCTCTCCCCGCCGCGACCCCCCCCGTGGGCGTCCGACTGGGACGTGCCCGCCCCACGCTGGTGGCACGGGTGGGGCCTCTCCCCGCCGCGACCCCCCCCGTGGGCGTCCGACTGGGACGTGCCCGCCCCACGCTGGTGGGGCCCCTCCCCCCCGTGGTTCCTCTCGTGGGCGTCCAGCTGGGAGGCGGTGGGGAAGCCCACCCCACACTGGTGGCACGGGTGGGGCATCTCCCTGCCGTGGTTCCTCTCGTGGGCGCCCAACTGGGAGGCGGTGGGGAAGCGCCTCCCGCACTGCTGGCACGGGTGGGGCTTCTCCCCGCCCCGGCTCCTCCCGTGGGCGTCCAGCGGGGAGGGGCTGGGGGAGCCCTCCCCACACTGGTGGGGCTCTGGGGGTGTCACCCGTGGGGACGGGGGGGGCGGATCCCTGTCACCCCCGCCGGTGGGGCGCTGGGAGGGCGGCTCTTCGCCAGGCGCCGGGGGGCTCCTCCGCCCGGGGCTTCGCCGCGTTTCCTGGGGGTCCCCCGACGTTTCCTGGGGGTCCCCCGACGTCTCCTCCACCCCCGGTTCCGTTTTTATGGCCTTGACCCCCCCGGACCCCCAGGCCCCCCCGGATTTCGTCGTCCTCCCCCCGGCGCCGCCGGGCTGGGAATTCTGGTGGCCACCGGCACCTGCTGGTAGAGGAGGGGGGTGAGATGCCGCAGCCCACCCCCCACCCCTCCCCCAGGGTCTCCGTGGGGAACGATGGGGGGGCCCCAAACCCTCCCCCCCCCCCCCCCAAAGGGCCTTCCCACCCCCCACCCGCACCCAACAGAACCCCCGTTTCCAAGGGGTGTGGGGGGGGGAATCAAGGTGGGGCAAAGGGTTGGGTGGAGCTTGATCCAAGATGGAGCAAAGGGTTGGGTGGAGCTCCAGGGCACCCACGGTGGGGCAAAAAACTTGGGTGGAGCTCCACCCAACCCTTCACCCCACTGTGGGCGGAGCTCCAAGGGACCCACGGTGGGGCAAAGAGTTGGGTGAAGCTCCACCCAAGTTGGGGCAAAGAGTTGGGCGGAGCTCCAAGGGACCCAAGATGGACCAAAGGGTTGGGTGGAGCTCCAGGGCACCCACGGTCATGGTGGGGCAAAAACTTGGGTGGAGCTCCACCCAACCCTTCACCCCACTGTGGGTGGAGCTTCAAGGGACCCACAGTGGGGCAAAGAATTGGGTGAAGCTCCAAGGGACCCAAGATGGAGCAAAGGGTTGGGTAGACCTCCACCCACAGTGGGGTGAAGGGTTGGGTGGAGCTCCAAGGGACCCACAGTGGGGCAAAGAGTTGGGTGGAGCTCCAAGGGACCCAAGGTGGAGCAAAAACTTGGGTGGAGCTCCACCCACAGTGGGGTGAAGGGTTGGGTGGAGCTCCAAGGGACCCACAGTGGGGCAAGAGTTGGGTGGAGCTCCAAGGGACCCAAGGTGGATCAAAGGGTTGGGTGGAGCTCTGGTGGACCCACGGTGGGGCAAAGAGTTGGGTGAAGCTCCACCCACAGTGGGGCAAAGAGTTGGGTGAAGCTCCAAGGGACCCAAGATGGAGCAAAAACTTGGGTGGAGCTCCACCCACAGTGGGGTGAAGGGTTGTGTGGAGCTCCAAGGGACCCACAGTGGGGCAAAGAGTTGGGTGGAGCTCCAAGGGACCCAAGGTGGATCAAAGGGTTGGGTGGAGCTCTGGTGGACCCACAGTGGGGCAAAGAGTTGGGTGAATCTCCACCCACAGTGGGGCAAAGAGTTAGGTGAAGCTCCAAGGGACCCAAGATGGAGCAAAGGGTTGGGTAGACCTCCACCCACAGTGGGGTGAAGGGTTGGGTGGAGCTCCAAGGGACCCACAGTGGGGCAAAGAGTTGGGTGGAGCTCCAAGGGACCCAAGATGGAGCAAAAACTTGGGTGGAGCTCCACCCAAGTTGGGGCAAAGGGTTGGGTGGAGCTCCAAGGGACCCAAGGTGGATCAAAGGGTTGGGTGGAGCTCTGGTGGACCCACAGTGGGGCAAAGAGTTGGGTGGAGCTCCACCCACAGTGGGGTGAAGGGTTGGGTGGAGCTCCAAGGGACCCAAGATGGACCAAAGGGTTGGGCGGAGCTCTGGTGGACCCACAGTGGGGCAAAGGGTTGGGTGAAGCTCCAAGGGACCCACAGTGGGGCAAAGGGTTGGGTGAAGCTCCAAGGGACCCAAGATGGATCAAAAACTTGGGTGGAGCTCCACCCACAGTGGGGCAAAGAGTTGGGTGAAGCTCCACCCAAGTTGGGGCAAAGAGTTGGGCGAAGCTCCAGCCTTGGCGCACGTGCGGGTTACCTGGGGGGGTCCGGCCCTGCTGGGGGTCCTGGGCTGGGGGCGACGCCGTCCCCTCCTTCTCCTCCTTGTGGGCCCTCTTGTGGGCGTTGCAGCGGAAGTTCTGGGTGAAGCCCTTCCCGCAGATGGGACACTTGAAGGGTTTCTCGCCCGTGTGGACCGTCTGGTGCCTGACGAGGTCCGAGCTCTTCCGGAAGCTCTTCCCGCAATCCCGGCACTTGTAGGGCCTCTCGCCGGTGTGGACGCGCCGGTGCATGAGGAGATACTGGTGCCGGGCGAAACCCTTCCCGCAGTCGGGGCAGACGTAGGGCTTCTCGTCCGTGTGGATGGCTCGGTGGGAGAGGAGGTGGGAGCTCTGGGTGAACTTCTTCCCGCAGACCACGCACCGGTGGGGCTTCTCGCCGCGGTGGAGCATCTCGTGGATGACCAGCGGGGAGCTGTCGTTGAAGCCCTTCCCGCACACCGAGCACTTGTAGGGCCACTCGCCGGTGTGGAGCCGGCGGTGCCGCACCAGGTGGTTCCTCCAGTTGAAGACCCGGCCGCACTCCTCGCACTCGTGGGGCTTCTTCCTCGATTTCGAGGGCGCCCGGGTCCCCCCTTCGCCGACGGGATCGCCGGGGGGGTTCCAGTTGGCCAAACCCCCACGGCCTTGGGGCCGCCAGTTCTCGCAGCCTTCCTCCCTCACCTCGTCCTCCTCCTCTTCTTCTAGGTCTTCCTCCACCTTCACCTTGACCTTCTCGGGGTTCTCCTGCTTCTCGGCCCACCCCATCCCTGCGGGGACAAGGGACAGCACCGGCCGCCCGGTCACGGTCGCCCACGCACCAAAAAAACACCCCCCCCCCACCCCCCCCCCGCGGGATGGGTGATGAACCCCCCCCCCACCAACAACATGCAAGAAAGACGGGGTGTGTGTTCCCCGCCCCCCCCCCCCCCCCCCGCGACGTTTGGGGGGACCCCACCCCCTCCTCAAGGAAAAAAAAAAAAATAAAACAAAAAAAAAAAAACCAACAAAACAACTCCGGGTTGTAACAAAAAGGGACCTTCCGCGCCATTCCGCCTTTCGCGGGGATTTCCCCCCCAAAAACGCGCCCCCCACACACCGCAGCGCTTCCTCCCTTTGTCCCCCCCACCCCGCCAAAAAAAAAAAAAAAAAAAAAAAGTGGGGAAAACGGGTTTTCCACGCGGTGATGCGCCACCCCCCCCCCTCCTCCCACGCCGAGCGCTCTGGGGGTGCATAAGGGTGAACTCCCCCCCCACCCCCCCCCCCCCGCGCCTCGCCCCGCGTGGGTCCCCACCGAGGCCGGGGATGTTTTTTTTTTTTTTTTTGGGGGGGGGGGGGTGTCCCCCCGCCGCCGCCGCCGCCGCCCCCTCCCCCGGCCGCGGGGCTCCGCCCTGTCCCAGCCCCTTCCTGTGCGGCCGCGCAGGCGGGCGGGCGGCAACCGGCGCCGTGGGGGGGGGACACGGGGGGACACACACACACACACGGGGGGGGGGGGGGGGGTGTCTTGTGTCTGTTGGTAAAGGAATGGGGGGGGGGTCGGCGTGCGGGAAGTAGGGGGGATGTGGGGGAGAAGCATCAGCATCACACACACCACCCCCCCCCCCGCCGCCAGCCCGCCCCCCCCCCCCGAGGAATGTCCCGGGGGGACCGTCACCCACGGGAGTGTGTCGTCCCTTGGGGGGGTGGGGGGGCGTCACCCACCCGCTGCCCCCCAAGAGAGCATCAACCGTCACCCACGCGGGGGGGGGAGGTTCCTAGGGGGACCATCACTCTTGGGGGGGGGGGGGGCATCACCCGATTTTGGGGTGAACAGCACCCCCAGGAGACCATCAACACCACCCCCCCCCCCCCAGGAGAGCATCATCCTCGGGTGACCATCACCCACGGGAGAGCGTCATCCCTGGGGGGGGCATCACTCTTGGGGGCCCATCCCCCCCAGGAGACCATCCCCCCTCCCCCCCCCCAGCAAGGACCATCTCCCTGGGGGGGGGGGGGGGGGGGGTTGTTTCTTGACCCATTTTTGTGGAGACGGGGAGACCCGAAGGCCCAACTTGGCTGCTCCCCAAGACACCCCCACCCCACAACCCCCCCCCCAAAGGTGTTGAGGAGAGAATTTTTATTGAAATAACTTTTTTTTTTTGTAAATACAGGCGACGATATTGCAACACCCCGGGGGGGGGACGACACACACATCAGGAACGAGCACCGTGAATCCTCCTGCCAGAGGAAGGGAGACACACCCCCCCCCCATCGTGGCACCACGCAACTGGAAGAGTCGTGGGGATGCCGAGATGGCGCGATGAGACTGGAAGAGACGTGGGATGTCGTGGTGGTGCAATGAGACTGGAAGAGTCGTGGGATGTCGTGATGTCATGATGTGACTGGAAGAGTCGTGGGATGTTGTGGTGGCGCGATGAGACTGGAAGAATCTTCGGATGTCATTGTGTCACGATGCAACTGGAAGAGTCTTGGGGATGCCGAGATGGTGCAATGAGACTGGAAGAATCTTGGAATGCCGTGTTGGCACGATGAGACTGGAAGAGTCGTGGGATGTCGTGGTGTCATGGTGCAACTGGAAGAGTCATGGAATGCCGTGGTGGCGCAATGAGACTGGAAGAATCTTTGGATGTCGTGGTGTCATGATGCAACTGGAAGAGTCTTGGGGATGTTGAGATGGCGCAATGAGACTGGAAGAGTCATGGGATGTCGTGGTGCCATGATGCAACTGGAAGAGTCTTGGAATGTCGTGGTGTCATGAGGCAACTGGAAGAGTCTTGGGGATGCCGAGATGGCGCAATGAGACTGGAAGAGTCGTGGGATGTCGTGATGTCATGATGCGACTGGAAGAATCTTGGAATGTCGTGGTGGCGTGATGAGACCGGAAGAGTCTTGGGACACCGGGGCGGTATAGATGTGACGTGGAAGACTCTTTAGATGTTGTGGTGTCATGAGGCAACTGGAAGAGTCTTGGAATGTCGTGGTGTCATGAGGCAACTGGAAGAGTCTCGGGGCGCCGGGATGGCGCGAGGCGACTGGAAGAGTCCTGGGCATTGCTCGTGGCTGCTGGTGGGGTTCCCCGCCCTGGTCACGTCCCGCTCTCCGGTGGGTGCGGGACCCGCCGCCGCGGTGAGCGGCTCGGCAGGGAGAAGCACGAGGGGTGCAGAGGATCCTCCAAGCCGGGGACGTCGGGGGACGAAGAAGGGGGTGACTTCAGGGTGAGCTGGGCGATGGGCCCCACGCGGAACCAGGGCCGGATCCTCTCCCCGTTCAGCGGGGCCAGCGGGAAGGTGAAGAGCAGGTCTTGGCTGTCGGCGTTGAAGAAGGCGACCTGCTGTCCCTCAAAATCCAGGTAGACCCGAATCCTCCGGGGCGTCTGGGCGAGGGCGAGGGCCGTGTGGTCCGGGGACGTCAGGGCCCAGTACTTGCCCCCGCAGTGGAAGAGAGCCAAGATCCCGTCTTGAGGAGCCGGGTTGATCCACCCCTTCCTCTTCATGGTCTCCTTGGCCACCCCCATGGCCCAGACCCCTCCTTCCTCCGTCCCCACGTCCACCTCCCAGAAGTGCCTCCCCGCGCCGAATCCCTCCCGGCCCAGGATGCAGTGGTAGGTGTCGTATCTCCCGGGGTTATCCGGCACGGCTTGCCGCGTGTCCCCGCGACGGATGCGCTTCCCACCCGCCGAGAGGACGAGCTGGGGGTGCGCCGTGTCCGCGTCCAGCGTGACGTGCACTGCGGGGAGGAGAGCGCTGCCGAGGAACCCCCTTTGGCTGCTGCCTTTGGGGGGGGGGGGTCTCCGAACCTCGGAGAAAATGGGGAAGGGGGGGGTTTGGGGGGAATCTCAAGCGCCCAACGGCACCGGAGCGCGGTCCCATCTCCGGCCACCTCCAGCGTTGGTCCTGGGGTGGGACCTCCTCGGGGTGAGCATCTCGGCCAAGCGCCGGTTGGGACGCGGCCGCCGCGGTTTCACGAGCTGCACGCCCCTCCCCAGCGCAGAGAAGAAGGGACCCGGCCTCGATTAATTAAGGAGGAGCCTCGTGAATTAATTTTTTCTCTTCCCCCACTTCCTGGGGAGGAGCCAAGAGCGTCGAGGAGCGTCCCAGCTCCGCACCCTCCTCTGACACCCGGCGTCAAGAGCTCGGGTCTTCAGAAATAAGCGCCCCCTCCCCCCCCCCCCCAAAAAAAAAAAAAAAGCAGAAAAATGCTCATTGAGTGGGAAAAGGAAGCAGAAAGCACCAGAGCGCCCGAGGCATCCCCCCCCCCCCCCCGACACCTCCCCGCCCAAGCAGCAACGCTCAAGCCCAAGGTACCTTCTTCCACCGGGACGACGGCGTTTCTCCACCCTGAAACCAAACAGACGTGATCGCAAGAGGGTCCCGTGGCGTGGGGGGGGGGGGGGGGTGGCCCTGGGGGGGTTGGTCCCAGGCAGCACGCCGCTTAATACACTCAAATTTAATTTATTTTAAGACACAGGTGCGTCCAAACGGGAACCCGGGCACCGTTTCTGGCCCGGTTCGACTTTTTTTTTTTTTTTTAGACCCCGGGTTTGTTTTGCAGTCGGGTGGGGGGGGGGGCTTGGAAATGAAACCCAGGCAGAACCCGTCCCGCCCCCTCCCCAAAATCATGCGCTGTTCGAAAGACCACGGGGCGGGGCCGGGGGGGGAGGAACAGCAAAAACCGAACTTACGCAGTTCTGCGGAGTGTTTCTCTGGAAAAGAACAGAAAAAAAGAAGCGTTTTTAGGAAAAACACGTGCTTTTTGGGGTGAAACCCCCTTGCTTTGAGCCCCACGTAGCCGCCAAACCCAAGGGCACGTCAAAAGGTCCTTTTACGGTGCCAGACCTCCAAAAGGTGCCCCGAGAGGGGACACCGGCTCGACAGAAGGAACGTGGGGGCACCCCAAGGGGCTGGAAGGAGCCGGGGGGGTTGGGGCCCCCCCAGAAGTCGGGCTCAACCGCATCTAAGTTGGATGAAGGATGTTGGGGGGAAGGTCTTCTCCTTTGCCCCAAGCTTTTAGCGGGTGGAAGAAGCAACGCAACACTTACGTATTTCCATGTCGCGATGACCTGGAAGGGGGGGAAAAAAAAAAAAATTAAAAAAAAAAAATCAGGAAGAAATAGGTGGGATGGCTGGAAAGTGCTAATTTGGTGCTGGCAGCTTGTCCGGGCGCCCGAGGACCTTTTTGCTCCTTTTTCTGCCCAGGATGTTGGAAGTTGAATTGAAGCAGGGGGGTGTTATTGATATTGGAAGGGGATGTAGGTTTTTTTGGGGGGGGGAAAAAACCCGGCTGAATTGCTTGCCCTAAATGGGATTTTGGGGGGTGGTGCGCTAAGAGCAGAAGGGTTTCTTGGCGCTTCTCTTGCGCGGCACGTTGTTGGCCACGTTGCCATCCAAGCTAGCCGTTTTAACTTGGGAAAGAAGGAAATTTGGGGGATTTACTGCTTTCTGAGATGGCCTTTGGGGAGAAACACGCAAATGTGAATTTTATTCCTCTGAAAACGAGGAAGCTGCTTCTTAGTACTCCGAAATTTTATTCCTCCGAAACCAAGGAAGCTTGTTTTTATTATTCCAAAATTTGATTGCTCCAAACCCACGCCACGCCAACAATATCATTAAACTATTACACGCCTACGAGCTACAGACGGGCTCCGTAAACCGCAGCCCGTCTCCGCTGAGGTTTTATTATCTGAAAAAAAAAAAAAAAAAACCAACCCAAAAAACCCAACAACCCAGAGATTTGGTCTTCCCTGAGGTCGGTTACCCAAGTTGGCCAACTCAGATGAAGTCATGCGCTTGATTTGGTCCCCAATTTTCCCGCTTCCTCCCCGCCGGTTTATGAACCCCCGTGACAAAGCGAGCAGCCGTCCGCAGCTCTATTTTTTTCCTTAACGACATTTAAAAAAAAAAAACCAACCCACATTACTTACGGATTTCGGCATCGCGTTTCTCTGAAAGGAAAGGCAGAAATAAGTGTAAGAGGAAGTTTCCTTTCTCGCGGGGAAATTGTCGGCGGCCTGAGGCCTGGAGAGAGGTGTTGAAACTCAGCCTCAATAACATAACTGGCTTGGTTAAAAGAAGAGGAAAAAGCAGGAAAAAAAGGGGATTTTCCCAATTCTGTGGGTTTTTTTGGTGCGTTTTCAGCATGTAAATGAAATCTTTTCAACCCTTTCCCACGCCTCAGTCTTTCAAATGGCTTTTTTTTTTTTTTTTTTTTGGTGTGAAATGACGCAGCAAGCGCTGTTCTAAAAGCAAATTGAGACAAGCGTGTGGGAGACCCAACCCTCCTTCGCTACCAGCCAAAAATTTCCCTTTTTTTTAGAAAAAAAAAAAAAAAAGGAAAAAGCGTCTCTTACCGAGTTCTGCGGCGTGTTGGGCTGTAAGAAAGAACAGAGAACGGCGCGTGGGTTAACGGGAGGTTTCTCCCACACCTACATCTCACAGGGGTGACCCGCGCCGGGGGCGTGGGCTGAAGAATGGGAATTTCTGGGCTTGGTTGACGCTGCTGGAGGCGGGGGGGGGTGGTGTCAAATGGGGGTTTTGGTGTGAAACGGGGATTTTTCCCTCACGTTGGAGCCTGCTCTTCCTTTGCCCCGGGCAAGGTCATGAGCTCTCGGGGGTGGAGATTGGGCCTCAGGTCCCTAAAAAGTGACATTTTGGGGGGAATATTTCAATGGGATGGAGCTCTAGCGAGTCTCCGATGCCTGGGGGCAGTTGGTCCTTCTTTGAGCAGGTCTGTATCAACCCAGTGTGGTTTGGGTGCCCAGGTGTCCTCTTGGGTGCCCAAGCGTCCTCCCTCTTGGGTGCCCAAACATCCTCTTGGGTGCCCAAACATCCTCTTGGGTGCCCAAGTGCCCTCTTGGGTGCCCAAACGTCCTCTTGGGTGCCCAAGTGCCCTCTTGGGTGCCCAAGTGCCCTCTTGGGTGCCCAAGTGTCCTCTTGGGTGCCCAAGTGCCCTCTTGGGTGCCCAAACGTCCTCTTGGGTGCCCAAGTGCCCTCTTGGGTGCCCAAACATCCTCTTGGGTGCCCAAGTGCCCTCTTGGGTGCCCAAGTGTCCTCTTGGGTGCCCAAGTGTCCTCTTGGGTGCCCAAACTTCCTCTTGGGTGCCCAAACGTCCTCTTGGGTGCCCAAGTGCCCTCTTGGGTGCCCAAACATCCTCTTGGGTGCCCAAATGTCCTCTTGGGTGCCCAAGTGTCCTCCGTCTTGGGTGCCCAAACATCCTCTTGGGTGCCCAAACGTCCTCTTGGGTGCCCAAACGAACTCTTGGGTGCCCAAATGTCCTCTTGGGTGCCCAAACATCCTCTTGGGTGCCCAAGTGCCCTCTTGGGTGCCCAAACGTCCTCTTGGGCGCCCAAATATCTTCTTCCTCTAGCCTAACGCCTCACCTCGTAGCCGTAAGACAAGAAGAGCGCAGACAACCAGCGAGGCCAAGCAGGCAGCCAAGGTCACGAACAAAGCTGCCATCCAGGGAGAGGCCTTTGGGAAAAGGGGGTCTGGAATAGAGAAAAAATTCCCCAAATCCCGTTAATTGGGGGTGCAACGATCCGTCGATGTTCTGCACTGGAGCGCGCGTGCGCGGCGGTACAGAAACGCGTGGCGGTGCTCTGACGGAAAAAATAGTTTATGAACATCAGCCCACGGGAAATGCAAAACTGGCGAGAAATCCCCGTAACAAAGATTCTAAAGCATTTTTGCATTTAATGTTCTGCAAAGGGAATATGTAGAAAAACGGTCTCTTGTAAGCGCTTGGTCCCCTCCGAGCATCTTTATTGAAATATTTAGTCCCGAAGTTGCTTTCTAATAGAATTTTTAAAATTTTAATAGAAATTCCCTGCTTGAGTGACGGTTCTTAAGAAAACTGCACTGGAACCACCTTTTTACTAAAACATTAATTCTGAATTTCCCTGATTTGATCCCTGACGGTCCAGAAACCCCAGTTCAGTCCCTCTTCCATCGCCCGCACGGGGTGCGCTGGGTGCTGCAGCCGAGGGAACCCATCTGGGGATGCAACAGGGCCCCCAAGCCCAGAAGCCTCCTCAGATGCAGCCAATGGTGATTGGACACGTAAAGATAGGGGAAAAAAAAAACAAAAAACAAAACAAAACCACCTTATTTCCCAGGTATGACTTAAAAGTGTAATTCTGGTGGCACGTCACCTGATATAGAAATGGTCGAGCCCTTCTCCTGGGGAAGCCGCGTGCTCCTGACGGAACAGGACACGTTTTGGTTTGTGTTTCTTTGGATGACGATGGACTTCTCCACCTCGAAGAAGCCGTCGTGGTTTTGGGTGTCGGATTCGGCGAAGGACGGGAGCTGCTGGCCCTGGAAATCTCTCCACAACATCTCGGGCTTTGGGTACCAGCCCGTTGCTCGACACCCAACTCGGATTCCCCCGTCTTGGTAATCCTCCACGGAGAGGATGGGGCTGGAACCTGAAACTGGGACCCCAAAAAAAAAAAAATCCAAGAAAAAACCCCAACCCAGCTGCCATCAGCCAAACTGAGTGGCCACCCTGGAGAAGACCATTTTTCCATTCACAGCTGCAAAGTTCGGGCAGAAAGACTCACGGGAAACCTCTGAGCTTGGGGTGGAATTGACGTTTTGTATTCCCGTTTTCCTCTTTTCTCACATAAACCCAAAACCTCGAGAACTTTCCATTTCGGGGGACGATTTTCGAGCCCAGTTTATTTACCCTCGGAGCGTGAAATCACAAAACCCATCAGGCACGGCCCCTCCTAAAGAGAAGGGTGTGGCAAATGGAAGCTCCTGAGATGAAGCTGCCTCCACCCCGCCGGCAGCTCATCCCCTCTGCGGACTGAGCAAGGCGAGACCTGACGGGTTTGGGGAGGAAAGCGCCGGGTTTGGGTCACGCTTGGCCAACCGCAAGGTCGGGGGGGGTTGTTTTTTTTTTTTTTGCCAGCTGGGACACGCGCGGTGGCGACGTTCGTGTCTGCTCGGGTCCCACCTTGGGACCATCTGGAGGTCACACCCTCGGCAAGAAGAGGTTGGATCGTTGGGGTCCCGCTGCGTCATCTCCTGCCACTCCCCCGGGCTCTCGTTGGAAGGAAGTCAACCGGAGATGACGCCAAGGTTGAGTTGAGACGGTTGACCTGGGGGGGAACCGGGAGGTTTCTCCCGGGTTAGAGGGGGGGTGGTGCTGTATCTGTGAGGTTTTGGGGGGGTTTGGTGGTGGCCCGAGGTTGGATGGTTGGGGTCCCGCTGCGTCATCTCCTGCCGCTCCCCTGGGCTCTTGTTGGAAAGAAGTCAACCGGAGATGACGCCAGGGTTGAGTTGAGATGGTTGACCTGGGGGGGGGGACCGGGAGGTTTCTCCCGGGTTAGAGGGGGGGTGGTGCTGTATCTGTGAGGTTTTGGGGGGGGTTTGGTGGTGGGACACTCCGTGTTCCGCAAGGATCTGAGGCCGGGCAGGTCAGGAGCCAACTCCCGAGGAGCCGGGCGACCAAAGCGGAGAAAACTCAAGAGGGATTTTGGAGACGCGGTGGGCAAACGGGACAAAGCAGAGGTCCATCCTGGGGCCGACCCCTCGCTCTGGTTCTTACCTGCCACCTTCAGCTCCAGCGCGGCTTCTTCGTAAAAATCCCCGTCTTTGACGAGGCACTGATACTGCCCTTCATCGCTCAGCCCGGTCCTGAGGATCTTCAGGGAGACGTTCCCAACGGAGAGGCCTTCTTTCAAAAACTCCGTCCTCCCCTGGTATTCGGGCATCTGGGAGGAGTAGTGGTCCTGCCCGCCGCGGTAGAGGTGGACGTAGACCAAGAAACGGGTGCGGAACCACCTCACCTCCAGGTTCTCGGCGTCGAGCCCGGGCGAGAGGTGACAAGGCAGCACGACGTCTTCTCCCACGGCGGCCGTGATGGGCCGGTCGGGTCCCAGGACTCGGAACCGGGCTGCGAAAGGCGATGGGTGAGAAGAAGAAACGCCGGCGGTGCCGCCGCTCCCTCGTCCGCCGCCGATCAATGGGATTTATTTCGTTTTGTGGGAGGGATTCTGGGCAGGTGGAAGGGGGGCGCACGCGTGGCGGGTCTGGGGGCATAACGCTCGACCAAAGCGTGGGAGAGCGTCGCGGTGGGGCCCGGGAGGACCTCGGGAAGAGCGCGCGGAGGTGGGGACGCTCTCATGGGGTGGAGGAGCCACCTGGAAGCTACAGAAACGCTGGGGGGGGAAGGGCAGATTTTGGGGTGTTTGGTTTTGTTTTTTTGGTTTTTTTTTTGGGGGGGGGTTAGTCTACAGCTGAGCGAGTGGACTGAACTGGGGTTTCTGGACCGTGAGGGATCAAATCAGGGAAATTCAGAATGATTGTTTTAGTAAAAAGGTGGTTGCAGTGCAGTTTTCTTAAGAACCGCCACTCAAGCAGGGAATTTCTATTAAAATTTTAAAAATTCTATTAGAAAGCAACTTCGGGTCTAAATATTTCAATAAAGAATAAAGTGGATCAGCACGATCCACCAGTGATGGATCCCCAAAGTCGCCTCCCGGTAGGACGCGTCTTGCCCTCAAAGTCCCCAGAAATTGGTATTTATCCCACCAAGCTTTTAAAAACCACCTTTTTTAAAAATTATTCTTATTTTTTGGTGTAATATTAACAAACTGGGGGGGGGGGGGCAGGAGAAATAAATAAGGAGGGTTGGATGTCATGGAAGAAGCGCTGGAGATCCTTACCGCAGCCCAGCTCCCGGACGTGAGCGCCGAAAAAGAAAATTGTGACCCAAACGGGGCTGGAGGTGACGCGGGGGAGGCAGGAGCATGAGGAAACTGTCATTTTTCTGTCCGACTTCGTGGGAAAAAGGTGGGGGGAAAAAAAAAAATTAAAAAAAAAAAAATTCCAAGAAACTAATTTAAAGTTGACGTGGTGCAGGGAGCATCCGGCTGAGGGTTTTCTAAATGAAACTTGATTAGAAAAAGCGGGAGAATTTGGGGATAGTCAAAAAATAAATCATGAGGTGGATGGGACCTGGGGGGGGGGTGGTGTCAGGGCTGGGGGGGGGGCTTAGGTGGGTTTGGTACCCCCAAAAAAACCCCAAACCTGCTCCTGTTGCGGCAGCGCGGGCACTGCTGTCACAACTCCGCGGGGGCTCAGGGCTTCCCATGGGGCGGAAAAGAGGGGGAAAACGGGTAAATTGGGGGGGGTGGGGGTGGATTTTTCCGATTTGTGGTGCTGCCTCAAAACCGGGGGGGGGGGAACCACAAATTAAAATGATGGTTTTGGGGGTTGGAGGGGGGGGGGGAATAGAAAGAGGGAGAACTCGGCGCCGAGGAGGTGGCGCCCGGGGATGAAGCTGTAAAATTTTGGGGGGGGTCCGGGGGGGGGGCGGGGTGGGAGGGGGACACACACACAGGTCTGACCCCACGGGACCAGGTTTAAAAGGCTGCCGGCTTAAAAACAGCGGAAAAAAAAAAAAAAAAACAAAAAACAAAAAACGAAAAACCATAACACCGCCCCCCCCCCCAATCCCCTTCCCAGCTTCACCCCGGGGGGGTCCCCGAATTCCGTATGCATGTGCCCCCCCCCATCGCAGGCTGCACCCCCCCCCCCATGTGTGTGTCCCTGGGGACCCCCTGACCCCCCCTCCCTGTCCCCCCCCCCCCCCCCCAGTCCCTACCAGTCCAGCGTGTCGGGGTCCCGGCAGCATCGCGGGGGGGGGTGTGGGGGGGGTGTGGGGGGGTGGTTTGGGGGGTTCGGGGGGTGGGATTTGAGGAGGGGGGGGTGCGGTTCTGCCTGCCCGTCCCCCGCCCCCGCCTTGGGCCAGGGAGGGGTGACGAGCCAAGCGGGGCCGGTGGCAACCGAAAGTGAAAGTGGAATCTGCCGGGTCGGGTTCCTGGGGGGGGGGGGCCGGGGGGGGGCTGAACCCCGGGACGCGGAGCCCCGAGCCAAGGTCAGAGGGGAAATGCTGAAGGTCCGACCTGCCCTGACCCCCCCCCAGCCCAGCGGGAGCCGGGGGGAGCGTGTGTGTGTGTGTGTGTGTGTGTGTGTGTGTGTGTGTACGTGGGGGTACACACCTCGAATGGCATCTTCATACATGTATGTGTACGCACTTTTATGTATAATTGCATATTTATACACATTTTTATGTATCTATAATTAATTATATCCTTATACGTGTATATGCATTTTACGTACATAAATTTATATATGCAGATATTTACGTTTTTATGTATAGTTATATATTTATACATATATATACACATTTTTATGTATATCTAGTTATATATTTATACATAGATATACACATTTGTATGTTTATATAGTTATATATTTATACATAGATATACACATTTTAATGTATATACAATTTTATATTTATACATGTATATATACTCATTTTTATGTATAATTACATATTTATACACACTTTTATGTATCTATAATTAATTATATCCTTATACATGTATATACATTTTACGTATATAAATATATACAGATATTTACATTTTTATGTATATATAGTTATCTATTTATACATATATATACACATTTTAATGTATATATAATTTTATATTTATACATGTATATATACTCATTTTAATGTATATAGAATTATATCTTTATACATGCATATATACTCATCTTTATGTATAATTGCATATTTATACACATTTTTATGTATCTATAATTAATTATATCCTTATACATGTATATACATTTTACGTATATAAATTTATATATACAGATATTTACATTTTTATGTATATATAGTTATATATTTATACATATATGCATTTTATGTATATAAATTTATGCATATGTTTACATTTTTATGTATATATAGTTATATATTTATACATATATATACACATTTTTATGTGTATATATATACATTTTTATGTATATATAATTTTATATTTATACATAGATATACATATTTTTATGTTTATATAATTTTATATGTATACATAGATACACACATTTTTATGTATAATTATATATTTATACATACATACACATTTTTATGTATATATAATTATATCTTTATACACATATATACATTTCATGTATATAAATCTCTATATACACATATTTACACTTTTATGTATATATATTTATCTCTCTATATACACATTTTGATGTAGACACATAAATTGCATAAATACAGAAACATACATAAATCCATGACTGTATAAGTTCATAACTACACGAATGTATTTCAGGCAGGCCTGTGGCCACTCTCTCTCTCTCTGACATATAAATATATACATTTAAATACATGTATATCAGGATGTATATATTCTAGGCAGGCCTCTGTGCGCGCTGCGCGTGCCTATGGCAAGATGCGGTACCACACTTTGTGGGCGCGCTGAGCACTTGCACCCCCACACGTACAGATAACAGATCGATCTCCCTCTCCCACCAGCTTCTGGGCCCGTTAAATAGGAATATTTATATATTTACAGAGCTTTAAATATTTTTTTAATATAAATATATTTTTAATATAGAAATATTTCTATATTTTAATATAGAAATATTTATATATTTTAATATATGAACAGTGACATTTTAAAATATATAGATATTTTTATATTTTAACATATGAATATTTACATATTTTAATATCTAGATATGCATATATTTTAATATATAAATACCTCTCTATTTGGATAATTATATATTTAGAAGCAGAGCAGCAAATTAAGGGTACGGACACAAACTCAGGGGGGTTTCTCCTTCCCCCCCCCGCCCCCGACAGAGGGACCGGCTGAGGTTGGGAGGGGCGGGAGGTTAATTAAGTTAATTAACAGCCCTGATGAGCGCGCGGGGGCTCAGCCCCGGCCTCCCGGGGGAATTTCGGGGGGGGGGGGGGGGGGTCGAAAGCAGCTTTGGGGAGGAAATTCAATAATTGGAAAGTTTGGATGGAAGGAGTTTAGTGGGGGGGGGTTATAGCATGCGAGAAACAATAAACAATATAAATTGGGTCCCTTTTTTGCCCCGTTTCTCCTAAATTTTCTGGGGTTGGGTTGATCAAGTGCCGCAAAGCCCCTGGGGGGGGGGTGGGCACTTCCTGACACCCCTTCCTGCCCCCTTACACCCCGTTTGGCCCGGCTGACTGGGCGTACTGGGTGGGAGCTGGGTGCAGGATCCCAGCTGGGGTGAAGCACCTTCGGGTGCCTCCACCCCCCCCCCCAAAAAAATTCCCAAACTTGCTAAAAATGGGTAAAACAAACCAAAAAAGCGTCATTTTCTTTTTATTTTTTTTTATTTTTTTTTTTTTTTTTAGCCCGGTGGGGTTAAATCATCCAACCTCTGGGGCGTTGGGGGTGGAAGTGCCTCAACAATCTCGCCCTGCACTGCAACCTGCATTTTTGGGGTAAAATCAGGGGAAAATGGGTCTAAATTCAGGCCTCAGGGACGGAGAGCGCAGGATTTGGGGCCTCCTGCCACTTCCTCAGCCGGGGGGTTCAGCCACAGGTCCCCCACTTTTGGGTGGAAAATGGATTTTTTATTTTTCTTTTAAAAATGTTTTTATTTTTATTTTTAAATTTTTCATTTTTTATTTTTTCATTAAAAAAAATAATTGTTCCATTTTTCTTTTTAATATTTTCATTTTTCTTTTTACAATTTTTTTATGTTTTATTTTTTATTTTTCTTTTTTTTTTCATTTTTTCTTTTTTTTTTTCCCTTCCTTTTTCTTCTTCTTTTCTTTTTTTTTTTTTTTTTTATTTTTTTTTTTTATTTCCCCTTTATCTTTTAACTCGGGTATTTCAGATTTCCAAGGTGCAAAAAACCCCCCTCAGGGCGTGGGCAGTTAGCGCTGAGGACCCTTAATTCCTGAGGAAATGTCCCTCCCGGCCCCGTTAACCCCTTCCTCCCCGCTCGCAGCGCCAAACCTCAGCCAAAGCTTTTCGGAAATCCCCCCAAAACCCCTTTCAACATCTATTGTTTTAAAAAAAATCAATTATAAACCCTATTTTCTATCATCAGTGCTCGAGACAATTTAATTTCCCATTATAATAAATCTACTGAAGTAGCTGGTTGATTCTTTGGAAGTTCTTTTACAGATTTAAAAAAAAAAAAAATAAAAAATTAATTTTTATTTTTTTCCAGCTGCCCCATCGCTTGCCGAAAACAGTGAATTTAGGAGGGATAAATAACAAAATACTTTATTTTACAAACTTCCAAATTTTTGGTGCTGAAGTCGTGCTAATCGCGACCCGACTCGCAGGGTCAAGTGCAGCCGCCTGCTGCAGGGAAAAAAAAATCGCTGCTTCTCTAAATTGACAGAATTGAGGCTTTTTCCCCCCATCAGCCCTGGGAAACCTCCCGGCTGCCCCATTCCTCCCTCCTTCATCTCCCTCCTCATCCTCGGCTCCATCTTCCCCTTCCCTGGAGGGACAACCCCGGAGAGGGGACAAGCCAAAATAAAGCAATTTGGGCAAATAAATTAAAAAAAAATATATATATATATAATAATTTTGAAATGGATGGAGGGGAGTAATCCAATTTATGGGGTTTTCCTCCAGATTTATTTTTCCCAGCCGCATCACCCCCCTCCCGGGAGCGTATCCCTGCGCCGGGGGAGGTGGGGGGGATTGAGGTTAATTTGGGGAGAGGAAGGTCCATTTTGGGCCTGTGCCTGGGACTCATTTTGGGGTAAAAGCAGCTGGTTTCGGAGTGTGTGTGTGTGTCCCCCCCGCCCCCCCCCTTCCGTTTGCTGTCGCAAGGGTGTTTTCCTTCACTTCGTGGGTGGGGAGGAAAGGGTTAAAGCCCCACCACCACCACCACCACCACCACCACCACCCTGGAGGGACCATTGGGGAGATAATGGGCACAATGGGCAGGAATGTGGTGGAGGATTTACCCCCTGTGGGGTAAGGACCATCCTGAGGTGGGGGGGGGGGAAGAGGAACCTCCTCCCGTCCCACCTCCCCCACCAGAGCGGCTCTGGAGACGTGGTGGCCCGTGGGATGGTCCCACCAGAGGGGCTCTGGTAGACGTGGTGGCCCGTGGGATGGTCCCACCAGAGCGACACTGGAGACGTGGTGGCCCGTGGGATGGTCCCACCAGAGCGGCTCTGGTAGACGTGGTGGCCCGTGGGATGGTCCCACCAGAGCGACACTGGAGACGTGGTGGCCCGTGGGATGGTCCCAAGGATCTTTGGGCTTCTCCCCGGTGGGGTGAAGAAGGTTATTTCTTGCTCTGGGGCACTTTCAGATGCTGCATCGTGGTTGCGTCACCCAACGAGGTTGACCCACCGTGTTGGCGTGGACCTTTCACACCCAGGATCGGCCACGCTCGAAGTGCCCGGACCTGCTGGGTCACCCAAGGAGCCGAGATCTGGCGAAATCACTGAAGGGGGCTGGAAGGTCCCGTTGAGTTTGACGTTAAATGTCCCACCTTGTCCCCGTCGTGGCTGCCCGGGGTGGGGGCTCTTCCTGAACCCCCTTTCTCCAGGGTGGGGGCGCTCCTCCACCGCTGCGTCCCTGCCAAGATGTGGGTTTGCCCACCCAAGGGTCCCCCGTCCCCCCCCCCCGTCCCGTGGAGCACCTGGAGGAAGCCCCAGCTGGGGGTCCCACCAGCTGCCCACCCTGGAGCAACCTCTACCCCAAAACCCCCCCGAACCACCCCAAAACCCCCCCAAGAATCACTTCGGGTGGCCGTATCTGATCCCACTCGTGTCCAAAACCCAGCTGAGTCCACGGAGGCCTATTTTTATGAGGTGTCCAAGACCTCCAGAGCTCCTCCGTGAGCTGCTCCGGACGCCCAAGAATCACGACATTATTGGGGCAAAAAGGGAGTGGGAAACTCGTTTTTTTTTTTTTTTTTGGTGAGTTTAAATGAGCAGAGGATGTCGTTCTGCTCAGGGGACGTTGCGATAAGGAGGGAGCAGCCGAGCCCCGCGTGCCGCCGGGACGGCAAAGCGAAATTTATGAGCTTTTTGGCGAAGAAGGCGGCGATCAGGAAGAGTTGGGAGGAAGTTGGTGAAGGCGGTGGGGCCTGAGCAGGTCCAAGGGGTGGGATAGAAAAAAGGGGGGGGGGGAAAAAAAAAAAAAAAAAAAAAAAGAGTTTAAAGCCTTTAGCAAAAGAAATTTTGGGGTGATCTGGGATTTTGCACGGTCCGCGCTGCCGGTTTGGGTTGGTCGTACCCCAACTGCCGCCGTTGAGCGTCGATGTTCCTCCGGGAGGAGGTTCTGGGGGGGTTTTTCCTCCACTCAGGACCCCTCCTTGGCCGCAAAAATCGTTCCTGGGGGTGAAGAATGGTGGGTGCGGGAAGCGGGCGCGGCCGTTGGAGGAGTCGCCGGCAGGGTGGCGTGGCCCCCCCCCAGCCTCGGGCCGCCTTCCCCCCTCGCGTTGGTGACCTGCGGCACGGGAGCAGAGCCCCGCGTGGGGTTGGGCTTGGTCCCCGTGGGAACCTCCTCCCGTTCCCCACGGCAGGGAAGGGGGGCTCCCCTCGGCCCCGGGTGGGACTGACGCAGCTCCCACAAGAAATCCGTGATGCCCGAGGAGGGCGCGGCGGACGGTGGGGTTTTGAAGTTTCCCGAGGGTTTTTTTTTGGAGACCAAGCCGGGGCGGTTGTGGGGCCCCCTCCGTGCCCCAAACCACCCTCGTGGGGAGGGGTGGGGGGGGGGCTTTATCCAAGGGGGGCTCCTGCACCGCCAGCTCCCCCCCCCGTGGATTTGAGAGGGTGACGAGCCGAGCGATGGGCGTCCTCTCCGGGTCCACCCGGGGGGACGCGGTTCCACGCCGACATCTCCCCGGCTCTCAGCAAGGAGAAAGCGTCCCCGTGAGGACACGTCCTCCATCCCACGGAGGGTCCCCACCCGCGTGACGGGGCCGCCGCCACCTCGGACCGTCCCGGAGCAGGACGGGACGGAGTTGGCTTTGACCTTCAGGCTTGGGGAGTTTTTTTTTTTCCCCCCCCCCGTCTTGAGGTTCTCGACCCTCCTGCGCGGCCCTGGAGCTGCTCGTGGCTCCTCTCCACCCTCCTCCCACCCGGGACCGGGGTTCCGAGGTCGGGTGGCCCCTGCGGGGACTCGTCGTGTCCTCGGCTGGGGGGGGGGGCAAGTGGAAATGTCCCGCGGGGAACTGGGCAGCCGGCCCGCGGGAGCTGATTTGGGGGGGATTCAGTCAATTAAATGGATAAAGTGCAGAATTTTGAAAGGCGAACGGCGGGAAGAGTGCTGATAATTCAATTTATTTTTTTTTGGGGGGGGGGGGGAAGCTGCGGATGCGGTGAATAAAGGATTTCTCGATTACTGGCATGTAGGGTGCTGAAAAGATATTTATTTTTTGAGTCTGTATTTAAGCCATTTTATGAATGCTGTATTATTATTTTAAGCCATTGCACGGCATTATATTTTTATTATATTATTGTATCATTTTATTATAATAACATTATTATACTGTAACAATATAATATATTAGCATTATAATATTTTTATTAGTCTTTCTGCAGCTGCAATAATTTTATGCCACTTAAAGTGGTTAAAATCTTATTACATGGCATTATATTTTTATTATATGATTATACTATTCTAGTATTGATATTATTGTATTATAAACACTATGGAATTATTTATATTATTATACTATTATAAAATTATTAATCTTCTTGCAGCTGCAATGACTTTATGCCATTTAAAATGGTTAAAATATATAAAAAAGGATTTTATTATATGGCACTCCATTTCTATTATACTATTCGATTCTTTGCAATATATAATAATTATGATGATTTGTAAATATTATTATATTACGATAGTATTATCATTTATTAGTCTTTCTGCAGCTGCAATCATCCGATGCCATTTGAAGGGTTTAAAATCTCCCTCAGCCTCCACCTGAGCACCAAACTTAGAAATTTGCAGGATTTACCCAATAAATCCATTTTCCTACACTTCTGGAAGCATGGAGGGGGGGATGTTTTGTTCCTAAATTGGAGTAAAAAATCTAAAAATGGGCTTTTTTTTTTTTTTTTTTTTATGTGGTGGGGGAGGAAATGGGGCTGGTGGGAAACCGCAGCTCCCGACCCTCAGGGGCGATAAAGAAATAACCGCGTTTCCCCAAGACAAACATTTGTCGGGGATTTTCTTTTTTTTTCAGGAAAAAAAAAAAAAAAAAAAAAAAAAAAGGTCGGCGCCGGCTGGCGAAGGTGTTAAAAACGAGAGAAAAAAAAAAAAAAATCCCCAATAACCCTTTAATTCCACGGTGCAATTGAAAACCTCCCTCTGCAGCCCCAAATTTCAGTTTTTTCAACAAAATCTGAGTAATGTAAGTTTTTGGGTTTTAGGGGGAGAAAAATTTCGAGACGGAACAAAAAGATGCGTTTGTTTTTTTTTTTTTTTCTTTAAGTTTTATTTTTTTTCTGCCACAGAATAAATTTAAGTTTCTTGGGGAATTTTTGCTGCCTGGAGCTGCTTCATGTCCCAGGGAAAAGGAAAAAATTGCTTTAGAAACATATTTATTTATTTATTTATTTATTTTTAAGCTCCTGCACTGAGCATCCTTCAGAGGTGGGAAAAAATTGCCTACAAATTTTTTTTTTTTTCCCAAATATTTTCATTGTTGGATTGGAGGTGTGGGAACAAAAACCCATTTTAGTTTTAAAATCAATGCAATGTATCTAGGGCTGACAACTTTTTTTGGGGGGGGTGCTTTAAAATAGTAATTTCTCAACTTTTATTTCTTCCCTCCTTGGCCAGGGAGGATTTTGGGCTCGGATCGGGTTTCTCAGCCCCCAGATTTCTTCTTTTTGAAGGAAAATTTCAGGCACTGTGGCTATAAAAAAAAAAAAAAAAAAAAAAAAAAAAAGGGAAAAGCAGGGGGGAAAAGGAAGGGGGCGGAAAAAAAAAAGGGAAAATGGGCAAAAATGTGGGAAAAAAGGGGGGAAAAGGGGGGAGGGAAAGGAAAAGCGTGGAAAAGTCCTTTTTCTTCCCAAAAGGGGTGCCGCGAGGACGCGGGCCGGCTCCATCCCCGCCCACCCCCCGCGCCGGGGCCGCCCCTCCCCGCCCCGCGGGAGGCAGCGGCGGGCGCGCAGGTAACGCGGGTCCCCGCGCTGCGGCCGCCGGGGCTGCGCCGGGTCCCGCGGAACCCCCGCGGAGCGCGGCCATGGCTGCGCTGGAGTCCGGGCAGGTAAGGGGGAAGGGGCGCAAGGGGGGGCGGGGGGGCACCGCGGCCCGCGGGACCGGCCGCGGAGCGGGGCGGCCGGCGCCGACCTTCGGCTGCCGCTGTAAATTCGGGTTTAAAAAAAAAACAAACAACCCAATGATTTCGTAATTTGATATTTTTTTAAAATTATTTCTTTAGTTAATTTATTTCTGACTTTGTTTTTTTTTTTTTTTAATTTATTTATTCTTTTTTTACATCAGTTATTTGGTTTTTGGTTTTAATTTTAATTTGTTACTTTGTTAGTTTTTTTAATTTTTAATTCTTTACTTTGGCTTTTAAAATTTTAATTCTTTTTTAATAATTGTAGTTCGTTGGGGTTTTTTGTTGGTTCTTTAGTTTTTTTATTTTATTTCTTTGGCGTTCTTTTAAATTTAGATCTTTGTTTTATAATTTTAGATCTTTAGTTTTATTAATTTTAGTTCCTTGGTTTTTTTAAATTTTAGATCTTTGTTTTTTATTTCTTTCGTTTTTAAAATTTTAGTCCTTTCATTTTTTTAATTTTGATTCGTTTTTTATTTTTAGTTCTTTTTTTTTTTTTTAATTTTAGATCTTTGTTTTTTAGTTTTAGATCTTTGGGGTTTATTTATTTATTTTTAAATTTTAATTCTTTGTTTTTTAAATTTTAGTACTTCAGGTTTTTTTATTTTAGTTCTTACTGGTTTTTTATTTTTAATTTTTACTTTGGAATGTTTTATTTCGGTTCTTTTTTTTTTTTTTTTTAATTTTGGTTCTTTCTTCCTTTTTAATTTTAACAATGCTGCCCCTCTGTTGCCCCTTCCCCCCCCCCGCCCCCCAGGTGCCCGAGGCTCTCCAGGAGGTCACCGTCACGGCCACCGAGACGCCCCGGCCGCTCTCCAGCCACCCCCCCGCCCTCCCAGCAGGTAGGGACCCCCCCCCCCCCCCCCCCCCCAAATCCCTGGTGGTCACCGGTGGCTTTTCGTGGGGGGGGGGGCGGGGCCAGGGGACCCCCCCCCCCACTCGTGTTCCGGGGGTGCCTCTCCAGAGGGGCTCCTGCTTTCAACCAACCAGGCTCCTTTTAAAAGAAATCCGGGTTTTTCGCCTCATTTTTCTGGTTTCATCCCCAGCCCTGTCTTCATCCCCAGCGGGAGCTTGGGGGGGTCACTGGGTGCTGGCCCCGACACCCCCAATCCCTCGGGGTGCTCCCGCCTGGGGGGGGGGGGGGGGGGGCGCTCCTCTCCCACCCCCTCCAGGACTAAAAATGCCAGAAACGGGTTAAAATCCCGGCGCTGGGCTCGCGGTGCCCCCTCCTGACGGCTCCGGGCCACTTCGGGGCACGGAAAAGCCCCCCGGGGGCTCCTCCAACCACGAGACGTGAGTGGGGGGGATCCGGAGTGGGGGGGATCCGGAGTGGGGGGGATCCGGGAGGGGAGCGGGAAAGCTGGAAACTCAACCCAAGCTGAGATTTGAGGGCGCTCGGGCGCGCGAGGGGCGGCTTTGGGCGCCGTTCTCGTGGCTTTTGGCTTTTTTGGACCACAAGATGAATCAACGTGAACTTAATCTCACCGTCCCGCTGGGTTTGCTTTTTATTTTGTTTTATTTTGTTTTATTTTATTTTGTTTTATTTTGTTTTATTTTATTTTGTTTTATTTTATTTTATTTTGTTTTATTTTGTTTTATTTTATTTTACTTTGTTTTATTTTATTTTATTTTATTTTATTTTATTTTATTTTATTTTATTTTATTTTATTTTATTTTATTTTATTTTATTTTATTTTATTTTATTTTATTTTTTTTAAGGTCCTCCTTGCTCTTTTAAGACCTGATTTAATTTTGAGGCTGGGTAGCGTCAGCACTTCACCTTCTCAGCTTGACCTTTCAGGTTACTGCTGGTTTTCTAGATGCTGCCCAGGAGAAGACCGTGCCGCCCTCGGGCACGCTGAGCTCCTCCGGCCAACAGATAATTAACAGATAATTAACGGCAACGTTTGGGCCTTGACAGACACTAACAGAGCAGATAAAAGTCACATTTTCACCTGCCGCCCGCTCGGTCCTCGAGCATCGGCTCTTCCTTCACGCGCTTCTTCTCCGACGTCCCACGCTCGGAGGAGATGCTCAACGGATGCGACCCCTTAATTTGGGAGCGTGGCTTGTGCACCGTGCCCCTGGCAAAGGCTTTTCTCCAAGCGGAGCTGGGGAGAGCGGCTCACCCGGGCGAGATGCCTCCAAGCCGCGGTGCCGGCGCGCTTGCTTTTACTCCTATTTTTTTTCTTTTTTTTTTTTTTTTTTTTTCCCCCCAGCCTTCCTTTTCCTCCCGCTCGATATTCCCTGAGTCCTCCCAGATGGACAACCTCTACCTTCCTTCCAGATGGACAACCTCTACCTTCCTTCTGGATGGACAACCTCTGCCTTTCTCAACTGCTCTTGATCTCACGGGGCTTTTCTGTCACCTTGAAAAGTGGTCTCGGGGCTGATTCCTCTCTGGTTCGAGCGTCTTATTCCCTAGGATGCCTTCTCCACCACCTGGAAAGCTCTTGTAGATGCCCTCAGCAGACCCTGCTGGGAGACCAGACCCTTCCCTTCTCCGAGAGCTGTGGGCACCTGGATTTTCTTCCTCTTTTCGGGATGAGTTTTAAGGTCACGGGCTCCATCTCCTCTAAGGAGGCATCACAGATGGTTGTTGTCTACCCAGTAACCCACCGCTGTCTACCTGAGCAGGCTTCCCCGCGTATAACCCCGACCTGCTCGCTCGGCTGGAGCACGGGGAGGAGGTTTGGATCCCCGACATCCAGAGCTCGGAGGAGGAGGAACAACCGGCGAGACCCCTCTTGAGGTTGCGGACGAGGAGAAGGAAGCGGTGGAGAAGCTGCCGAGGTGCCGGGAGCTCCTCCGGCTCCAACTCCTCTCGCTCAGGTAAGGGACTTTGTTTTCCGCCCCAAAACGGAGACGCCGGGTGTCACGCCTTGCCTCCAGCAAGCGAGGTCGCACTGGGAACCGGTGTAACTGGGGGGAAAGGGGGGGGGGGCGCAGGGCCGTGAGGACCCACTCGGGTGTTGGCAGCAGGAGATACCAAACGCTTCTCCTGGCTGGAGGCTGCTGCTGCTTCTGGATCGGCGTAGCCAGAGAGGTTTGAGGGATGAAACCAGTCACGTTTTGGGGTGCTTCTCTCCATCCCTCCCCCCAGCTCCCTCCCCGGCATGTTCGGGATGGAGGTAGAGGTGGAATGCCTCTTTTTTTTTTTTTTTTTTTTTGGCTTTTCCCAGCAGACGATGGGTGGTCGAGCGAGACGGAGGAGGACACTTCCCAGGATGAAGACGGAGAGCTGGGCGGCGGGTCGGCGACGAAACACAGAGGCGGCCTCTCCCTGGGCTACGACCACCCCAAGAACCACTCGGGAAGGAGATCGGCGTCTTCCAGCCACAGCAGGAGGAAGCCCAACGCCAAGAACCCC